GGACTAAATACAGCCGGTGATGACCAAACCAGTCCCCACAACACACCCACCGAGAATTTCCCTCCATCCCTGAGTGGATCGCAATCCAATCTCTGAAAGTTTAAAGGGTAATTCTAAAGGAGAATGTGGAATTATGGTGAGAAAGGAAGACATGAACCTGCTACCCTCCTCCTGTATTGCTTCTTCTTACTCCTCGCTTCCACTCGATGCGGGTATGTCAGAGTCCGAGCTGCCACCCTCATCATGGGCTGTCGTCATGCTGACTGATACTTGGATGTGGACAAAAGGGAAAATGGCCTTTAGCTCGTTGAACATACAGTGGTAATCTACAGTGCCACCACTCTCAAAAATCTCCAGCTCAACTCTCCTCAAATTGGTGCTGGATTTCAAAAAGGCACTGAGAACTGCAGCTAATTCCCTAGCCCACTCCTCTTCCTCCTTTCTCAGCTGCTCCTCACTGCAGTTTCCGGTCTCACATCCTTTACAGTGAATATCATGTGGATGCAGTTGGAAATCGATCATGTCCAAATTAGGGCAACTGTAAAAGATGTTTGTCCATACATCATTCACTGCGCGCTCAATGTGAGACTCTGCTATCTTAGAGGGATATGAGGTAGATGTGGGCGTGCCTCTCTCCATATGTTTCGCAAGCAAACGCACGAGCCCCGAGCGTAGCGTGAGTGACTTYAGCTTTTGAAGCCCCAAAGGCTTCGCAAAACGTGCAGACCGGTTCTCCAAAATTTTGGTGATGGTGGTGGCAGGAGCTGAAGAAGTAGCATGGGGAGCTGTAATACTCCTACTGGAAGTGGAATCGGTGATGATGGCCTCAGACTGTGAGGCGAGGGAGGTCGAGGAGAAAGATGACACAGTCGAAGAGAGAGGAGGAGCAGCAGGAGAGGGAGGCTTATGCGCGGTTGCAATGTGATCGATGTTGTAGAAACTGTAGTCAGAAACACATCCCCTGATTTTGTATCGGTTGGTTGAGGTTCCATCTTGATCGCTGCCGCATTCCTTTCCTTCTCGCCGTTCTCGGATCAGATGTACCTCTTCCATAGAGAGCGGTGAGTCCGTAGGGTAAATCTCTTCGATATCCAATGATAACACTTCAAGACTTTGCAAGTGGTGTGCCAGAATTTGGCAGAGGGCCCCCTCAAAGACTATACAATCCCGTAGGTGAAGCGACACAATATTGTCTAATGGTACTGAAGCGAACAAATTATAGTATGTCCAAGAGCACCCCGCGTGGTAATGACACAGAGAAACRTCTCCCGACGGCACAGTGAGAGTGAGACACCCACCAGGCAAGAGGTGAAGTACCTTCAACTTAGGGTAGTGTACCTGCAAGACTGGAATCATGTATGCACCCGGCGCAGAGGTGTGTAGGAAAAGGTTTGTTAAATTGGGACACATAATCGTTACAGGGAAAAAGACATCTCCTTGCCAATCGTTAACCGCAAGGCACTGCAGTAAGGGGCAAGAAATGCATGTGAAGTGCCTCTTCCCGCTCTCGATTTTCAGAGTGTGCAGGGAAGGAGCAACTTTGATAAAGGCATCTAGCTCTTCTTGCTCAAATTCAATGTCCTTATCTAATTTTACCATCAGACAATGAAGATGAAGGGGGTGTGATTCTGTCCCGATATTAGGCAATGATCGAAGTCTTCCTCGATCACGCTTAACATCCAAAGACATTGCCTGCAGGACTTCATTGAATTTTCCCTTCAACTCTCCTTCTACTTCTTCTCTTTTTGCATCTTCTGCTGCTCCTCCCTTCTCCCACATCTCATCCTGTTCCTCCTTCTCTTGCTCCCCCAATTCCTCCGTCAACTCCTCCTTTGCTCCCTCCTCCTCCTCCTCCTCCTCAACCTCTTC